GTGAGTACATAAGGCTCCACCCCTTACAATGTAACAGGTGTGTTAAGACAAAGAGATATGGCCCAAATGAAAGAACAGATCAAAACTCCAGAAAACCACCCAAGTGATAAAGAAATAGCCAACCTATCAGATGCAGAGTTCAAAACACTGGTAATCAGGATGCTCACAGAATTGGTTGAATATGGTTGCAAAATAGAGGAAAAAGTGAAGGCTATGCAAAGTGAAATAAAGAAAAATGTACAGGGAATCAACAGTGATGGAAAAGAAACCGGGACTCAAATCAACAATTTAGAGCAGAAGGAAAAAGTAAACATTCAATCAGAACAGAATGAAAAAACAAGAATTCAAAAAAATGAGGAAAGGCTTAGAAACCACCAGGACACCTTTAAATGTTCCAATATCCAAATCATAGGGGTGCCAGAAGGAGAAGAGGAAGAGCAAGAAATTGAAAACTTATTTGAAAAAATGATGAAGGAAAACTTCCCCAATCTGGCAAAGGAAATAGACTTCCAGGAAGTCCAGAGAGTCCCAAAGAATTTAGACCCAAGGAAGCACACACCAAGGCACATCCTAATTACATTACCCAAGATTAAAGATAAGAAAATCATAAAGTCAGCAAGAGGAAAAGAGACAGTTACCTACAAAGGAGTTCCCATAAGACCATCAGCTGATTTCTCAAAAGAAATCTTACAGGTAAGGAGAGGCTGGAAAGAAGTATTCCAAGTCATGAAAGGCAAGGACCTACATCCAAGATTACTCTACCCAGCAAAGCTATCATTTAGAATGGAAGGGCAGATAAAGTGCTTCTCAGATAAGGTCAAGTTAAAGGAGTTCATCATCACCAAGCTCTTATTCTATGAAATGTTAAAGAGACTTATCCAAGAAAAAGAAGATGATGAAAACTATGAACAGTAAAATGACAACAAACTCACAATTATCAACAACTGAACCTAAAAAAAAAATGTAATAGAGAGCCCAGAAATAAACCCATGTCTCTCTGGCCAATTAATATTTGACAAAGGGTACAGTAGCATATAGTGAAGTAAAAAATAGTCTCTTCAATAAATGGTGTTGGGAGAACAAAACTGGTACATGCAAAAAAAAAAAAAGAAAGAAAGAAAGAAACTAGGCCACCAACCTACACCATACACCACAATAAACTCAGAATGGATAAAAGGTTTAAATACAAGTCATGATACCATAAAAGTCCTAGCAGAAAGCATAGCTTATAAAATTTCAGATATCCCACATGGGAATATTTTTGCCAATATATCTCCTAGGGCAAAGGAAATAAAGGAAAAATGAATAAATAGGATTACATCAAATTATAAAGCTTCTGCATGGCTAAAGAAACCATCATCAAAATGAAAAGGGAACCGGCTGTATGGAAGAACATATTTGCCAATGATACCTGGGACAAGGGTTCAATCTCCAAAATATATAAAGAATTCATTTGACTCAACACCAGGGAGACAAACAATCCAATTAAAACCGGGCAAAGGACATGAATAGACACTTCTCCAAGGAGGGCATACAGAGGGCCCAGAGACTTGAAAAGATGCTCAGCATCACTAACCATCAGAGAGATGCAAATTAAAACCACAATGAGATATAACCCGTCAGAATGGTTATCACTAATACATCAACAAACAACTAGTGCTGGTGACGAAGTGGAGAAAAGGGAATCCTACTGCACTGTTGGTGGGAATGCAGACTGGTGCAGCCACTGTGGAAAGCAGTGTTGAGTTACCTCAAAAAATTAAAGAACAGAACTGCCTTTTAACCCAGTGATTCCACTGCTGGATTATACCCTAAGGATCCCAAAATACCAATTCAAAACAACTTATACACCCCTATGTTCACAGTAGCATTATTTACAATAGTCAAGTGGTGGAAACAGCCTATATGTCCAACAGTAGGTGAGTGGATAAAACAACTGTGGTACATTTATACAATGGAATATTACATGAAAGAAAGAAAGAAAGAAAGAAAGAAAGAAAGAAAGAAAGAAAGAAAGAAAGAAAGAAAGAAAGAAGGAACGAACTCCTACTTTTTGTAAAGGCATGGACAGAACTGGAGAATATTACACTAAGTGAAATAAACCAGTCAGTGAAAGACAAATACCATATAATCTCACTTATAAGAGGAATCTAATGAACAAAGTAAACTAATAAGCAAAATAGAACCAGAGGCATGGGAACATGGGGCAGACTGGCAGCAGCCAAAGGAAAGGGGGTAGAGGGACAATGGTGGAAAGAAGGGGAAGGGATTAGTCAAAGAACAAATATAAATGACCCTTGGGCATGGACAACAGTATGGGGACTGACTGTGGGAATGGGGGATGGGCTGGGCACCAAAGGGCAAAGGGGGTAAAAACGGGAAACTATAATAGAATAACAATAATAAACAAGCAAATAAATAAATAAAAGGGAAGGAAGAAAGACAAGAAAAGAATGGCTAAAATTAGGAAGACTGGCCCTGGCTGGTGTGGCTCAGTGGATTGAGTGTCAACCTACAAACCAAAGGGTTGCCAGTTTGATTCCCAGTCAGAGCACATGCCTGAGTTGCGGACTGAGTCCCCATTGGGGGTGCTCAAGAGGCAGCCACACATTGGTATTTCTCTCCCTCACTTCCCCTCTCTAAAAATAAATAAATAAAATCTTTTTTAAAGAGCTTATTTTTTTTTTTATTTTTAGAGAGGGGAAGTGAGGGAGAAAGAGAGAGAGAGAAACATCAATATGTAGTTGCCTCTCACGTGGCCCCACTCACATGCCTGCAACCCAGGCATGTGCCCTGACTGGGAATCGAACCTGCGATGCTTTGGTTCACAGCCCATGCTCAGTCCACTGAGCTACACCAGCCAGGGCTAAATAAATAAAATCTTTTAAAATGAATAAATAAAATTAGGAAGACTGACAATTCCAAGTGTTGAAGATGCAGAGCAACTGGAATTCTGATACATTGCTGGTAGAAATGCAGAATGTACGGTAAAGTAGTTTCATATTTTCACATAAAGTTCAGTGTGTGCTTATGAAATGATCCAGCAATTCCACTCCTAGGTATTTATCCAAGAAAAACTAAAACATAGTCCATGCCAAGACTTGCTTTCAAATGTTCATAGCTTTTTAAACTAGAACAGTCTAAATCTGGATTACGCAAATGTCCATGAACAGGTGCATCAATCAGGCATGTATTACAAGGAACTGGTTTATGCAATGAACCAATTAGGGCTAGTTAGGCAGGTCTGAAATCCATAGGGTGGGTCCTCAGAAAGCTCTCTAGCAAGAGCTGAAGCTGCAGTCCACAGAACTTCATGGAAATCTTAGTTCTGCTCTTATGGCCTTTGAACTGATTGAATCAGGCCCAATATTTGCATAAAGGCAACCCATTGTGGTGTTAAGCACGTCTACAGAATACCTTTACAGACACACCTACATTAGCATTTGGTTGAGTAATTGGGTACAATAACCTAGCCAAGTTGACAGCTGACCAGCAGGTGACTGGATATACAAATTGTGGAATACTACTCCACAATAAACAGGGAAAAAAACCTGATACAAGCAACAATAGGGATAAACAAATCTCAAACACATTTTATTCAGCAAAAGAGGGCAGACAAAAAGACCCTATGGTTCTACTTGTAGTGTGAAGTTCTCGAATAGTGGGAGCTAATCTGCAGTGTCAGGGCGCTGGCGTTTGCCTAATGCCAGCTGGGCATCAATAAAGGGAGGAGACTGGCTTTAAAGGAAACAAGAGAACTTGGGGAAGTGATGGAAATGACTGTGGCCATGACTACACAGGTGTGCATGTTTGTCAGAATCCGTCCAATGATACACTTCAAATGAGTTCACTTTTTCATATAAATTATTTTGCAACAAAGTTGACATGTAAAAAAAAAAGCTGATTCCTGCTTAGCACCAGATCCAGTCAGGGTTTCAGAGGGACCTATCCAGTCACACCGTCCAGCACCCATGGCGGAGAAGACTATCGTTTCCCCGTTGAGTACCTTCACACCTGTGTTGAGAATCAGTGAAACTCAATGTAGGTGAGAAGTTTCTGGGACAGGAATGAAGGAGGCGGGTGCGGGGGACAGAGGTGCCTGGCCGTCTCTGACTCTGCACCGCTGTTTGGTACGCGACTGGCCCTGGTCAAGTCACCTCACTGTCGACTCCGCACCAGCTGGTGGAGCCGCCTCCCCGGTCACCTTCCTCGTGCCCACCCCTTGCTGGCCGTGGGACAAAGCCTCCTTCTGGAAACAGGGCTCTGCCGTCAGGGGACCACAGTCCTGGGGCGCACATTCAGGGGGAGGGAGAAGACAGGAAGAAAGGCGATGGGCACAAAGAAGTGCGAATATTACGGCTTCCTCCTGGGCGCAAAGCCACTCCAAGCTGGACAGCTCGCTGCGGTAGATCCCGGTTAAGTCCCGGTGTGCTCCCGGCCCCGCATCATCCACCTCACCTGGGAACCGTTAGAAATGCAAATGCGCTTGGCCGCAGCCAGGCCTGCTCAATGGGAAACTGGCGGGGGACCCGTAGGGCGTGCTCGCGGTGCTTCCAGATGCTCCAGGTGCAACAGGCGCTCCAGGTGCTTCCGAGACCCACAGGAGGACGTGATGGCAGAAGGGCGGGAGAGAAGAGCCTCTCCTTTAGGGCTGATGAGACACCATCCGTGCCCTTCGTAGGCCTCTTAACAGCTGCGGAGGGCGGCCCGGGAGACGGGATGAGGCTGCCTTGAGAACCCAGAGGGAGTGCTCCGAGGAAGGGCTCAGAGCGTGACCTGCACCCGCCGAGCAGCCACGGTAAGGGCAGCCGGGCCCAGGGTAAGGGGGACCTGGAGAGCACGGAGCGCGCCTCCCTGGGTGCGGGACGGGCAGGGTGCGGGACGGGCAGTGGGCGGCCGCGCCTAACCCTCCCCGAGGCCTCTGCCCGGATTCTAGCCGAGCTCCGGGCGGCCTGGCCTCACCGAGCCCCTCCGCAGCGCACCCCCGCTCCCACCGCGCCATGCATCGCAGCCGGGTCACCAGCACCGCCGACAGGGCAGCGACAGCCATGCTTTGGGGTGAGTGAGCACCGAGACCATAGTGGCGCGTCCCGGGGGTAAGGACTACCTGGGGTAAGGACTACCTGGAGGAAGGGGAGCCTTCCCTGAACCCACCTGCCCCTCCCCCTAGGCTGTGAGCTAAACCAGGAGAAGCGGACCTGGACCTTCAAACCGCAGAAGGAGGGGAAGCAGGACTGTAAGGTGCTGCTGAGCACGGTGGGTGTCCCCCAAGGCCCGGAGCAAGGACTGAGCCAGCTACAGAGGAAGGGGTCGGAGAGTCTCTGGCCCTGGGGTGATGGGGTGCCCTGCCGTTGTCAACCCTCTCAGATTTGCTTGGGGGAGAAAGCCAAGGAGGAGATGAACCTCGTGGAGATCCTGGCCCCAGCAAGCCAGGAGGACAAGAGGCCAAAGCCCATCACCATCGCCTCACTGCAAGCCTCAGTCCTGCCCACGGTGAGCCTTTCCCTGCAGGCCCAGAGCTCTGCGGCTTAGCCCTTGGGTGGGCACAGGGTGGCCATCTTGCTTGGGACAGCCATGCAGGGAGGTGATGTAGCCCCTGACTAAAGGCCCCAACTCAGCCCTGCTTCCAAATCAGCCTGCCCTTTACTAGGTTTGAGAGCTTGAGTAAGTTAGGTAATTTCTCTTCTAAATCACATTTTTAAAAAATATACTTTATTTATTTTTAGACAGTGGGGAAGGGAGGGAGAAAGAGAGGGAGAGAAACATCAATGTGTGAGGGATAAATCGATTTCTTGCCTCTTGCACACTCCCAGATGGGGACCTAGCCTGCAACCCAGGCTTGTGCCCTGAGTGGGAATCAACCCGGTGACTTTTGGTTTGTAGGCCGTCACTCAATCCACTGAGCCACACCAGCCAGGGCAAAACCACATTTCTAACTGTTTACTGGTGGTGGCAGGACACTGTTGATGGCTTGCATACTGATTGCGTGTCCAGAAATTCTCTTATTTCTAATAATTTACCTCTTGAGGTTTCTATGAAGTCATCATTGTGAATAATGGCGGTTTGTGTGTCTTTTTTAAAATCCTACCCTCCCTGCCTAGGGCCGCAGCATAACATCAGGTAGAACGGCAGTGATAAGTGCCGTCATTTCAGTCCTGACTTCTCACAGGAGCGCCTCTAATGTTCCCCCACCAAGCGTGACAGGGTTGGCAGACACCGTCTGTCAGCTTTGGAAGTCCCCATCCAGTCCTACTCTGCTCTTACAATCGGGGTTTCCTCTTTTTGAACATAAATGGCTATCAAATGCTTTTCTATTCACATGATCTTGGGCTCTTTTCTTCTTTAACATATTAAGTGGTAAGTTATAGTAATTGAATAATATTCAGCCAACTTTGCATTCCTGAGATAAACACTACTTGATCATATTATAAACTTCTAAATTTGTTCTACTAATATATTAAGACTTTTTAAATTTTTATATACTCATTAGTGAGGTTGCCCTGTAAATTCCTTATCTGGGCACCAAGGCACACCAGCCGTGTGAACTGAGGGCCGGAGTGCTCTCTCCTCCGTGGTGGAACTGCGAATATGAGACTAGGACTGTCTGCCCTTGAAAATCTGGGAGACTGACCTTGTAAAAGGGCCCTCAAACCTATTTTTTCTCTCTGAGATCTCCCTGGAAGCTCATTCATTCCCGTAGTTTTATTTTTTTAAAGGCAATTGGATTTTTTTTTAAAGATTTTATTTATTTTTAGAGAGGGGGAGGAGAGAGATAGAGAGGGAGATACACATCCATGTGTGGTTGCCTCTCATGTCCCCACTATTGGGGGCCTGGCCCACAACCCAGGCATGTGCCCTGACTGGGAATTAAGCTGGTGACCCTGTGGTTCACAGGCTGGCACTTAGTTCACTAAGCCACACTAGCTAGGGTTTGTTCCATGGTGTTAGAGACCATCTATACAAAATGAATATTCTGCAATTTAGTTCTATGAACCCAACCTGTCTCCTGTGCTCCAGCTCTTCTATTCAGCAGAACATATTTAAGAGATATCTCAGACTTCACAAATCTAAATTCAAATTCTTGATTTTTATCTATAATCTCCTTCCTTACCCCAACCTGATCCCCTCCTAGTAAATAGTTGTTCAATCAGGATGAAACCTCCTTCTGCAACAGCCAGCAAATCCCAATCTGACCTCAGCTCAACACCTCCGTGCTGCACCCTGACCCAGATGACCGTTGCTTCTTGCCCAGTTTTAGCGCAGGGCCTCCTGACCGGTCTACCTGCCCTAACCCTTGGTCCCCTACAGTCTAGTCCAGGGGTTGACAAACTACAGAGTTAATCCAGCCCGCTGCCTTTTTTTGTCAATAAAATTTTATTGAAACACAGCCGCACTCTTTCATTTACATATCATCCATGGCTGTTTTCACTCAGTAATAGCAGAGTTGAGTATTCTCCACAGAGACCATATGATTTACAGACCTAAAATAGTTACCATCTGGTCTTTACAGAAAAAGTTTCCCAATCTCTAGTCTACTCTGTGCACAGCTGACAGAAAGGCTCTGTTAAACAAATGTCAGGCTGTGTTGCTCCTCTGGTTAGGTCAATGGCTTCCCATTTCCCGCCCTGAGCACCCTCTCCAACCTCCACCCATGCTGCTCTCCCCTCCCTGACCCTTCCGCAACCCCACTGGCTTCCCTGACTCTACCTTGACAACTCCCAACATACCCATCTTCGGAGCCCTTGCATTTATTGTTCCCCATGTCAGGGACACACTTGTCGCCCACTTCTATCTGGTCTTTGTTCAAATGTCATCTCATTGAAGAGGTCTTCCCTGGCCACCCACAGGGTCCCCTCCAGCTCCCCAACCCGTAATCACTTTTCCCTGCCTGCGTAGAACCCATCCACCGGCATGTCATTGGTGCACTCTTTCTCCCTAACCAGAATATAAGCTCCAAGAGAGTGAGGACTAGGACCTGGCCTGTTTCGCTCGCTGCATTCTCCACACTGCCTGCAGAGCAGTGTTGGTAAACTGCAGGACCTCAATATGCAATGAAGGAGTGAGTCAATAAGCAGACGGATTATGTGGGACTGGTTCAGTTTCAAGTTATTGTGATTTATTTAATAGTTTTTGATCTACTCAGATGTTCCTATTTGGGTTTTTACCAGCTCTATTGAGATGTGATTTAGAACAAGACTCACCAATGTTCAATGTACAACTTGCTACATTTGACAAGTGTATGTAATTGTGTAACCACCACCGCAGTGAAGCCTCTTTGCTGTCCTCCCCTGCCACCTCACAGCCTCGGCACCACTGGCCTACTTCCTGTCACTATAGTCTTACCTTCTCTAGAATTCATTCAAACAGAAGCATGCAACGCATAGTCTCTTGTGCTCAGCTTTTTCCACTTAGCATAATGCTTTCAAGATTTATCCATGTTATTGGCAAGATAATAATGTGCTCTTATACATGAGCAATATCCGTTCTGTGAATATATACTTATATAAAGATTGTTCACTCATTCACTTATTAATGTACATTTGGATAGTTTCCAGTTTTATACTACTATGAATAAAGCAGCTATGAACATTTAAGTGTAAGTATTTTAAGTACATTTTATTGATTATGCTATTACAGTTTTCCCAGTTTTTCTCCCTTTATCCCCACTCCATCCTGCACCCCCCAACCCTCCAGCATTTCCGCCCCCCTTAGTTCATGTCCATGGGTTATATATACAAGTTCTTTGACTTCTCTGTTTCCTATACCATTCTTAACCTCTCCCCATCTATTTTATGCCTACCCATTATGCTGCTTCTTTCCTGTACCTTTTCCCCCGCATTCCTCCCTTCCCCCTCCCCACTGAACTCCCTCTGTGTGATGTCCATTTCTCTGATCCTGTTCCTGTTCTAGTTGTTTGCATTGTTGGGGGTTTTTTTAGGTTCATTTGTTGATAGTTGTAAGTTTGTTGTCATTTTACTATTCATAGTTTTTTATCTTCTTCAACTTCTTAGATAAGTCCCTTTAACATTTCATATAATAAGGGCTTGGTGATGATGAACTCCTTGAACTTGAACTTACCTGGGAAGCACTTTATCTGCCCTTCCGTTGTAAATGACAGTTTTGCTGGATAGAGTAATCTTGGATGTAGGTCCTTGCCTTTCATGACTTTGAATACTTCTTTCCAGCCCCTTCTTGCCTATAAGATTTCTTTTGATAAATCAGCTGATAGCTTTATGGGAACTCCTTTGTAGGTAACTGTCTCCTTTCCTCTTGTTGATTTTAATATTCTCTCTTTATCTTTAATCTTGAATAACTTAATGATAATGTGCCTTGGCGTGTTCCTCTTTGGGTCCAACTTCTTTGGGATTCTCTGGGCTTCCTGGACTTCCTGGAAGTCTATTTCCTTTGCCAGATTCAGGAAGTTTTCCTTCATTGGAAAATGAAGGAAACAAATGTTCAAATAAGTTTTCCATTTCTTGTTCTTGTTCTTCACCTTCTGGCACCACTATAATTCAGATATTGGAAACGTTTAAAGTTATCCCAGAGGATCCTAAGCCTCTCTTCATTTTTTTTTTTTTTGAATTCTTGTTTCTTCATTCTGTTCCAGTTGGATGTTTACTTCTTCCTTTTGTTCCAAATCATTGATATGAGCCCTAGCTTCCTTCCTGTCACTGTTGATTCCCTGAATACTTTGCTTTATTTCACTTCAGGTATCCTTCATTTGTTCCTTCATTTTGTGACCAAGCTCAGTCAGTTCTGTGAGCATCCTGATCACCAGTGTTTTGAACTCTGCATCAGATAGGTTGGCTATCTCTCATCACTGAGTTCTTTTACTGGGGTTTTGCTCTGTTCTTTCATTTTGGCCATATTTCTTTGTCTCGGCTCACCTGTTACATTGTTAGGGGTCTGGACCTAATGTATTCTCCAGGGCAGGGCAGCCCTCTTTGCTGCATTGTGGTGCTATTGGTCTGGATGGTCTGGTTGGCTGTTTCTTTAATTCCTTGGTTGCTGGAGTTCCATGCAGTTTGATTTTCTGGCACTTCCGGTTATTTATTGTTTTTAGATTGGTTGTTATCCTCCTTTTGGTTGTGCCAAGAAACAAAGGGTTTCTACGCCTCCATCTTAGCCAGAACTCAATAAATAGTCTAAGCATTTGTATGGGCATATTTTTCATTCCTCCTGAGTAAAAATACCTAGGGTGGAATTGCTGTATCATATAGCAAATGTATGTTAAACTTTGTACAAAACTGCCAAACTATTTTCCAAATTGCTTTCCTATCAGCAATGCATGAGAATTATAGTTGCTCCACATCCTCACCATTGCTTTGCATTGTCAATCTTAATTTTAGTCACTCCAGTGCCTATATAGTGGTATCTCATTGTGATTTCTTTTTTTTTTAAGATTTTATTTATTTCTTTTTAGAGAAGGAAGGGAGGGAGATAGAGAGAGAGAAACATCAATATGCAGTTGCTGGGGGTCATGGCCTGCAACC